TAGCACCCAGGCCCTGAGCTCAAGCCCCAGGACAGGCAAAAACAAAAAGAGAGAGAGAGAGAGACAGACAGACAGACAGACAGACAGAAAGACTTCAGAAAGACAGAAAGACTTCAGAAAGACAGAAAGACAGAGAGAGAGAGAGAAAGAAAGAAAGAAAGGAAAGAAAGAAAGGAAAGAAAGAAAGAGAAAGAAAGAAAGGAAGGAAGGAAGGAAGGAAGAAAGGAAGGAAGGAAGGAAGGAAGGAAGGAAGGAAGGAAGGAAGAAAGAAAGGAAGAAAGAAAGAAAGAAAAGAAAGAAAGGGTAGTATTTAATTTTTAAATGGTATAGTTTGTGGTTTGTTCACATCCTCCTATATACTTTAAATTGTGTCTAGATTACTTTCAATTCTTAACATAATATGAATGTTTTTAAATAATTCTATTGTACTGTTTAGAAACGAATGACAAAAATAATTCCTCTACACGTACACCCATTTTCTTCAAATATTTTTGATCAGCAGTTAGTTGAATCCATATGGATTTAAAAGACTAATCAAATTTCATTCCCTTTTGCCTGTTTAGATTTTATTTTCCTCTGATTGGTGTAATTCTACTATCTAGGAAATTACCCTGGATGTAGTATGACTAGTTGAGGCAAATAATTTACCTAGGCCTTATAGGGGTGGTGACAATGGCAGTAGACACAGATAGCTTTGAAACCTAGGTAGGTGACTGAGTGACAGGATCTGAAGTAGCTAGGAGAAGAAGAGAGGAAGATGGAGGGGGTATGAGTGAGGCACAAGAGTTCTGGTTTGAGCAAATAATGGATGATGTCTCTTATTGGTGCTAACACAGGAAAGTACTGGAGGGGCATCATTATAAAAGAAAAATACAAGATTTAATTTGGAACATATCAGATTTGAGATGCTTCAACATAGAGATGTCTAAGAAGCATCAGGTATGAAGTGTACCATTCAAAAGAAGTGATTGGATGGGCACTGGTGGCTCATGCCTGTCATCCTAGCTACTCAGGAGGCTGATCTGAGGATTGTGGTTCAAAAACAGCCCAGGTGGGAAAGTTTGTGAGACTTTCTCTCCAATTAACCACTAGAAAACTGAAAGTGGTTACTGTGGCTCAAAGTGGTGGAGCAGTAACCTTGAGCAAAAAGAGTTCAGGGACAGAGCCCAAGCCCTGTGAGTTCAAGCCCCAGGACTGACCAAAAAAAAAAAAAAAGATCTGGAGAGATAAATTTTAAAGATGGCTCCCTAGAAGTGATGTTTGAATTCAAGGAATAGAAGAAATTGGCCCTAGAAAGAATATAATGAAAAGAGAACAAAGATTTGTTCTGAGTAATGCTAACAAGTTGTGGCTGGGAGAAGCAGGGGAGTCATGGATAAGCATTGAGCAGAGGACACATAGGCAGGGATGAGCAGGAGGAAATGGTGTATGAAGTCAGTGGATGGGGGGATGGAGCTCAGAGGTAAACCATGTGCTTAGCAGGTCATACAAGGTTCTGGATATGACCCCAGGCATTGAAAAAAAAAAAACAGTCAAGAAGAGAAAATGCTTATAAGCAAAATATTGTCAATTCTATCAAAGTTAAGGAGTCAAATAAGTGCCCAGTGCTTGGGCAACAGGAAAGTTGCTGAGGAGCTGGGGACAGAAGCCAGCCTGAGGCAGGTTGAATGGAACTTAAGGCCAGGGATAGTACTGAGTCCAGACAACAACCCATCAAAATGACTATAAAGGGAAAAAAAGGATTAAAAGTTGTATCTTTGTGTGCGTATGTGCTGGTCTTGGAGCTTGAAATAAGGGCCTAGGCACTGTCCCTAAGCTTTTTTGCTCAAAGTTAGTGCTCTATCAGTGGAGCTGTGGCTCAAGTGGCTCATAGAACTTTTCTGCCCAGGCTGATTTCAAACTGAGACCCTCAGATCTCAGCCTCCTGAGTAGCTAGGATTATAGAATGAGCCACCAGCAACCACAGTACCATTTTTTACATGTGGAAAATATGATGGTGGTAAAGAAGCCTTGAAAAGGCAGAGGCTGAAGATAAAGTAAGAGCTAGAATACTTGATAGTAAAATAGTCAAAGAGGATGCTGGATAGATATAAGTGTAATGGCATAGAAGAAGGCATATCTATTGAAGTAAGGAGGAAAAGATGTGCTAAAAGGCTGGCAGGAGTGTGGTTTTAGAGCAGTTCTGGCTACTGCCTTCTATAAAGTTTAAGAAGGAGCCCATACAGGTTACCTGCTAAGAATAGGGTCCAGAAGAAAGCACAGAAGAATAGAGAAGATTTAAAATAGCTACTAAGGAGGTAGGCCCAGTGACTCACAATGCAATCTTAGTTACTCAGGAAGTTGAAATCCAGAGAATGTCTGTGTGAAGCTAGACAAGGTAGAAAAGTCTGGAGATTTCATCTTTAATTAAGCAGCAAAAAAAACATACTGTAGGTATGGCTCAAGTGGTAGAGTACCATCCACACAGTCAATTTAGCCAAGCAATTGCAAGGCACTGAGTTCAAGCCCCCCAGTACTGTCAAGAAAAGAAAAGAAAGAGAGAAAGAGATAGAGAGGAAGGAAAGAGTGAGAGAAAGAACGAAGGAAAGAAAAAGAAAGGAAAGGAAGAAAGGAAAGAGAGAAAGAAGGAAAGAGAAAGGAAGGAAGAAAGGAAGAGAAAAAGAAAAGAAACTAAAGAGAGTGTGAAAATGACCTGCATAGAAAAAGGCCTATTTAGATTTCTGGGCAGTGAGGAGAATATAGTGTGGTTGAACCTATAAATGATTCACTCCCTTATTATTTATGTGTCATAAGCAGGACTCAGATATAGGGGAAGGCATGGGGAAGACAGAGATAGATTGTATGCCATTGTGGCTTTCTTGGATGATGTCATATGAGGTTTAAGAAACTGTTGAGAGAGAGAGAGAGAGAGAGAGAGAGAGAGAGAGAGAGAGAGAGAGAGGCTGCAAAGATGGATTATGGAAATGGAACCTAATAGATAAGAAGACAGACACTATTGAAGAAAAAGCATAGGAGCCAATGGGTATGGTTATGATGAGAACCAACAAGAGTTGTGAGTGGTCAAATCAGAAGAAAGACGTTGTGCTCAGAGTGGATTGGAGGTGGATTAATGGGGTTAATAATTGACCCTGGTATAAAGGGTTAACATGGGTGAAGTTAAGTGTCATTGAAGTCAAAGATGTCAAAGAGACCAGACAACAGAGCTCAATTTGATCAAGATATTCTCATGCACAATCTTCTAAATGTTTTGTGTTTTTCCTTTTTTGTTTAATCTACCTGGAGCTGATATTTATGCATGATATGAGAATATCACATTTATATCCTTCTGTTTGGGAAAACAGTAATTTGTAGGCCAATTGTTAAAGTTATCTAGTCCCCCAATAGTCTATGAATTCAACCTTCCTCATGGCTCCTGGCCTTTATTCAATCCTTATCACCTCTAGTGTGAATTAATACAGTACCTTTTAGCCTCTTCTCTCTATAGCTCATATTTTACAAGTTGCTGTAAAAGTTACCTTTTTGAAATACAAAATATAACCATGGCACTCCCCTGATTTAAGTGCTTATATAATTTTGGTAGTATATGGGTTTGAATTCAGGGGCTTTGTCCTCTTCAGCTCTACTCATAGCTAAGGACCGTACCACTTTAGCCAGGCCTCCCATCCAGTATTTTGCCGGTTAACTGAAAATGAAGTCTCTCAAATTTTCCTGCTCAGGCTAGGATTGAACTTCAGTTCTCCAGATTGTAGCTCTCTGAGTAACTAAGCTTACAGATCTGAGCCACCATTGGCAGTCTTTTTGTTGTTGTCGTTGCCTAGAGAAAAAAAAAAATCAAAGTCCCAAATATGGCATATTTAAGCATTTCACAGGGTTATTTTGTGTTATTTCTTTGCTCATATTTTTGTTCCTCATTGTCTGGTATTATCCACATTTGTACTCAAATGCTGTTGTATTTGTAAAAATATGTGAGCCAAGTTCACTTTCACAGATATTAGATAGGTCCTGACTCATCTATTTAATGATGGCACTAGATAAGATTTTAGTTTACTTAAATACTTCCAGTCTAATGGACACAAAGCCTTCACTCAGGTATGTTTGTAAAGGGAAGAATATCATCTGTAGCAGTACACTTGTAAATGGATAGAAGGACTCCACTGATGGCAACTAAAGGGAATCCATCAGTGGTAGCTTTGAGAGAAAGTCAGCTGGGTCCATCTTGAAAGGTGGATAGAATTTACTGGCTCAGAAGGGAGTGGGGCATTTGAAGTGGAGAGTTGGAAAAGTATGACCCCACAGTACTTGATAGAGGAGACAACCACATGGCCGGAAAGGTAAACTGGGGCCAGAATACAAATCTTCCAAGCATGGGTTAATAGATTAGGTGTCTGATAAATGATCAATATAAATAGGTAGTGACATGATTAGCCAGGCTGGAATTGACAGAGATGAAACTTAAGGGGATATACTCCTAGTCTAAGGATGGCACGGCATTGGTTTGCTTGGGCAAGTAGAAAAGCCAGAAAGGGTGAAAGAGAAATTCCAGGGAGAGACTCTAAGCAATTAATGCCCAAAGAAAGTGGTTTTAGGTCAGGTCCAAAAAGTATATGGTTTATTGCTGGATGTCAGTTTCTCACACCTGTAATCCTAGCTACTCAAGAGGCTGAGATCTGAAGATCTCAATTCAAAGCCAACCCAGGAAGGAAAGTGCATGAGATGCTTATCCCCATTTAGCCACTGAAAAGCAGGAAGTGGAGTGGTGGTTCAGTTGGTAGATGCCAGTCTTGAGCAAAAATACTATGGGACAGTGAACAGGCCTTGAATTCAAGCCCAAGTATAGCACAAATATATATGAATATATTTCTATGTCATTTTCTATAATATATACAAATAGTGTGTTTATATTATTGTATTAAATATTATATATTTTTATATAATATAAATTGTTATTGTGTCTTTAGATTAATAGTTTCTTTCTTGTTCATCCCCTCCATGTGTGGCAGCTTCTACTGGGCATGGTTGGGTCCCCGGATGAGGCTCTCCAGGAGGCTGCCGCTGGCTGCATATCCAACATCCGCAGGCTGGCTCTTGCAACAGAAAAGGCGAAATATAATTGAACTTCAAACAGATCCCCATCAAGCTGCCAAATTTTACATGACACAGCATGTGCCAGTCCCATGGCCAAGAGGCCTCAATTGGGAAACACATATTACTAAATCCTTTAAAGATGAAAATAGACTGAAATGCAAATGCTACTTTTTCTCTGAAGATGACTTGTATAATTTTGTTCTATTAACTGTTTGAGGGATATGCCATATAATCGAATGTAAAGCCAATCAATCTAGGATTGTGTTTTAAGCATTTGAGAATATTTGTGTACAGGATGCTTTTGTATTCGTGGAGATTTTAATAAAGACTGTGGCTTTCCCGGAGTGCCGTTTCACAGTTGCTCATGAATGTCTGTAGAATTCCCTTTCTGTTAAACCTATCTACCCGGCCCATCATTAGGCTTTGTCTGTGTGATCAGTTGCAACCCATGGGAGGATTCTGCGGAGATGTGCTGATTCCACAAACAGTGTTTAAACAGAATTTAGAGTTCAGCAGCTGGATTTAGGGAGATCATTCTGGGGTCATCCCCAATTTCTGCCAAATACTATCAAACATCTGAGAATATAATATCTGTCACCACACCAGATAATGTGAAACACAAAAACATTAAGCAGTAAGTTTTTCCCCCCTTTTTCTTAATATACTTTGAATTTCTGAATTTATTTTCAGCACATAGAGTGCTTTTTAAAAAGTGTCTACGAAAGATTAATAGCATTTTATCAGGTTAAGAAACGTTAGAATCCACTTAAAAGAATCACAGATGTAGCCTTTGTGTGCCGAAATGTTTGGGAACCAACTGTCCCTAGCATCTAATACCAGCCAGAATAATAGTTTTGTATGCATCATCTTGGTAAGCCAACAATTGCGTTCATGCATTAATGGAGAGGCAAGGCAGTTTTATTAGAAAATATCAGGTACTGTATATGTTTGTCATAAGTGGAGAAGACCATAAACTTAATTGAGTTAAATGTAAATAATTTGTACAAAATGAAAAGCCTGTACAGAATAAAAAATTAGAGCAGTAATAGGAACTCCAATAAAAAGATGAAATACTTCTGAGAATTTTAGGTTTCATAAAACACCCTTTGTTCTTCACTGTTTTGCAAAGGAAAGTACAAAAGAAGAGACAGTAAACAAAAAATGGTATTAATACTGAAAATTAAATGTAAAGAATGGAGGGAGAATGCATTACTGATATTCAATGTATAGCCTATGAACAATTGAGGGGAGGGTTGGGAGATGGGGGGATGATGGGGAAGAATGAAGAAAGGGGTAATACATAGTAATATGCATTGCATTGCACTTATATACGAACCTATTGAATGGTAACCCCTTTAAACATAATAAGACACAATACAAAATTAAAGAATATAGAATAAATCTGTTAACTTTCAGTAGTTGGCGTTGCTAAAATGGAACTCTCCCCATTTCACTTTGTTTCACAACATTAAAAACACATCTAGAAGCCATGGATTCTGATGATGACAGGAAATTATATTGTCATCCCACTGCTAGAAAAGGAAACCTCCCACGATTGTCTTAGAATTTGAAAATATCCTGGAAGTAATAGGTCCTGGGAGTGAAGGGAAACAACAGACAAAACAACAAACAACAAAAAGAACTGCGTGGATGAGGAGATGGAAGGGGAAAGGGAGGGGTTGTATGTGTGCTCACGAGTGTCCGTGTGTGTGTGTGTGTGTGTGTGTGTGTGTGTGTGTGTCTGTTAGTTACAATGTGTGCTGGATAGCAGGAGACTTGACATTTCTGTTTTTATAGTTAGTAAATGCATGAAATAAAGGTAATGCTGCCATTTGAAAATAACAATGGACTCAGAAACAAGTCTGTCGAATATTACTAAGAAATTTTCTTAACATTTTTTAATACTGGCAATGAGAAATTGATTTTAAAAATTGATTTTTGGCTTTTTGTGTGTGACATGTCCTAACAGAAAATTGTTCTTACTAGAAAAATAGCAAAGCCAGTGAAGATCTCCACAGCTATGAGGGACACAGAACAGGATCCTACCACTGTTAGTTACTAAGAGCTAGGAGAGAATGCTTCTTTCTTTTTAAAATTAATTTTGTGTGAGGGTTTTTGGTTGGTTTATTTTGTGCTATTTAAAGATAAAGACTTGGGCTTTTTTTCTTCAGGATACCTTGCAAGAATTCAGTGTGCTCTTGAGGTAATAGATAGTTGCAGTTTGAAAGGGGTTTAAGGTAGAAGGAATTTTCAATACGTCTTTGATCTTGCAATGTTTGCAACGTTGCCTTTTAGATGTCTATCCTCACCATAATCCTTCTGCTTTTCTCTGGCAATGTGCTTTTGCTACTGAGTTAACTTGCACTGAAGCAGTTTAAGAAAAAACAAGCCTCTGAAAGCAAGTGCAAAGTTCCTAAGGCTTGGCATTGTATTTTCTGTTATCCTGATTGACTCTGGCATTACCATTCAACATTTCTAACACATTCACAAGGAAATGACAGATTAAGATTCAAAATATTTGGACAATTTCCACTTCGGAAAATGAGAATCTCAATTGTTGATAGACAAGCCAAAGCTTGTAAATTTTTCTTTTTTTCTTTTCATTAAGAGGATTAGGTGAACAAGATACAAACTTGATAACTTGAGATGTTTAATTTTATTCCATAAAGAATAAGCATGTCCATCCCTGTAATTTAAAGAAAATCTACTTATTTTAAAAAGCCTATCTCAAATGCTCAACCAACTAGTGGGCCTGCATGCTCTTCAGCATAAAAAACTAATAGAACTCCCTTCCTAAACAAGAATGGACTTGAAAAGGGAAACTAAACTTTATAATGCAGGCACAATATTCACTACTTTGGGTTTTGTTTAAAATACAGGAGAACTGATAAATACCTTCTTAATGATTGAAATGGGCACAGTCAATCTGCAAAAGCAACTTGGCAATAGATACCAAATCTTTATATTTATGTGTGCCCTTTAGTTGTATCTAACAAGGTCTCTGCTGCTGTATGTAGTTTGGAAGGAATGTGTTAGAAGCTTAGACCCTAGATTAGCATTAACGTGTGTGTGTGTGTGTGTGTGTGTGTGTGTGTGTGTGTGTGTGTGTGTGTGTGTGTGTAAAAACCTTAAAAGGTGGAGCCTAAATAGAGGTTTTTGGGAGAATATCTTCAAAAGGAATTGTGGGGCTGTGATGTCTTCCTCTCTCTCCCTTGCTTCTTGGATATGAAGCGAGAGGTTTAGTACTGCCCTGCCATCCCAGCATGATGTCCTGGCCTGCCACATGCCCAAAGCAATAGGGTCAATTGACTATGAATTAGAACTTCCAAAACTACGAACCCAAAGAAACATTTTCTCTTTACAATGTGATTTTTCTCACTTATCGTACTCACTTATACCTTTGTTCATAATGATAAAAACGTTAGAAAAACTTGGGCAAATGCAATGGTGGCTCAGTCACACAGTGAAAGCATGTTTTGAAATAATGACACAACTTTTCAAAGCATATTCTGCTAAGCTGCAAACAGGTTCTGCAGCAACATATACAGGGTGAGCATATTTTCAAAATTATATATGCAATTAGCTAGCTAGTTACAATGAGAAAATGACCTGCCATATATAAGCAGACAGTAGGATTGAGTAGGAATAAATGGTTTCCTATTTTATCAGCATTATTTTGTATTTATTTCACAATGAATAGAAATTGCTTTTTAAAAAATAACAAGATACTCCCAGTAGTACTATTTATCATTTGGAAATGCTGAAAGTTGACATTCTTCCCTAATGCTTCAGGATCTTTTAAAAAGAGATCCTCAACTTATTCCAACACATACCTAGGATAACTGATATTTCCAAATAGGAGAGAGGTAACATCAACATCTAAAATTCCACATGGTTATTCTAATCTATAAAATACACACTTAAATGACAACTAATAACGGTTCAGTATAATTGAGACATCCTGAAGTGATTCACTTTATAAGTTCTGACAATTTGCTTATTCAAATTTTGTGTTTGTACATGAGACATCCATCCCAGGTCTGTCTGTCTGTCTGTCTGTGTCTCTCTGTCTCTGTCTCTCTGTCTCTGTCTCTGTGTCTTTGTCTCTGTGTCTGTGTCTCTGTGTCTCTGTCTGTGTCTGTGTCTGTCTCTCTGTCTCTCCCCCCCCCCCCCCCCCCCCAGTCCTGGAGCTTAATTCTGAGCTCCTTTTCCTCAAAGCTAGCACTCTATCACTTGAACCACAGCACCACTTCTGGCTTTTTTTCTGTAATTAAATAGAAATTCGAGTCTTATGGACTTTTCTGCCCGGGCTTGTTTAGAACCATGATCCTCAAATCTCAGCCTCCTGAGTAGCTAGGATTATAGATGTGAGCCATTTGCTCCTGGCTCTGGTGTCTCTTATTATAAGTACCCAAGTCCTGTTGGAGTAGGACCCTGTCTATACTATATGGCCTCATTTAACCTTAGCCACCTCCTTTAAAGTCTTGTCTCCAAATACACCACATTGGAAATTAGTACTTTGAGAAAGGAATTTGAACAAAATGGTTTTGTTGACCTGACATAGCCCTTGGTTCGCTAGTTTCAAATGCCATCATCTTTTATTATTAGAATGTGAGTATTGATGAAATCCTGATATATTACCGGTTGGTCAACAGATCACTAAAGAAATAATTTGTGCAAAAGGACACATCAAACTGTCTTGGCCAATAGATTTATATTATGATCTCAACACTATAAAATGCAACACTGAACAGGTTGACAGAAGTTGAAAATGTACATAACTGTACAGGGATATTTCAGTTTATAGGACAGCAGAGCTGGTAAGAACTAACTCCCCTGCTGTTAATTAGGCAGGAACCAAACTGCCCAAAACAAAGGCCTGTTTTCATCCAGGTGTCTTCTCAGTATTCCCAATCCTGTCCTCCCTCATAAACAGGACCAAAGCTAAATATAAAAGTGAAAATGGAGAAAAAGTCCCGTGAAAACTTTGCGGCAGTGCTTCGTGGCTGTGGTATTGGAGTCCACATGC